CAAACTGGATACATATTACCTATGAGTTTTTCGAGCTTTGTTTGAAGTAGTAATCCCCCCTAAAATATGAAGCCAGCTACGGTCAAACTACAATAAAATTCCCTATAGCTCCTCAAAACTACTCAAGCCACAACAATTCCATTCCATTGAGAAAAAAAAAATCAGGTTTATCACCAAAATCAAAGATGACCATAATTTGGTCTCAAATCAGATAAAATCACATAGGAATGTGAATAAATGAATACAATACAACCTAAGAAACTCATGTTGGAGGAACCCAGATTATGATGAAGATTGTTCAAACACATAAATTTGCGGTCAAAAAGAAAAATTCTTAAGAATCATAGACAGCTTTATGCAATCTAAACACAAGAGGTTAACGAATCACAATTTAGATACTGAACATTACCTCTTCCTTCGCATTCGCATTCTCACTTGGCCACATATCATTTTCTCCCAAGCTAACATTGATATGCTCTTCGTCTTCCTCTAAAAGACCAAACAACAGTTTGAGAATCACTCGTTAGACAACGAAAGAGAAATTTCATATGAAAGTAAGAAGCAACCCTCATCCTCACCAGATATGCTTTGATCGGAATCTAAATTCCCCTGAAATCCAACAATAAAATAGCAAAAAAGAAAAATCAAATTAATGCCCTGGCAGAAGAAGAAGTAAACAATTTACAAGGCTACAAGAAAATTACCGGTAAGTTACTTCGCCGCCACATTCGCCGTCAGCGTTCAAATGGACCTCGCCGGTGCTCTTCTCCGAACCGGCGTTGCCGAGAGACGAGAGTAAGTATATGGGCCCATTGAACGATCTCAACTTGCTTTATCGGGTTCATCGTAGTTGGGCTTTGATGGGCCCAATGCAATATCTAGAATTTGGTTTTGATACACCAAAGTTTGTAGTTAAGCAAATAATTAACCTGCCAATTCATCAATTTCACATTCTAGCCCCAAAATGTAAATATTTTTGACAATATGGGAGAGGTAATTCGTTTTTTTTTTTGGAAAATATATGATAACTTATTGATTGGTTGACCAATACAAACACAACTTTTTAATTACTTAACATAAACATGCATACTACAATTTGGAAATACATTAAAAACATTATTTATTTCTTAAAAAAGTTGAATATTTTTAAGTACCCTGCATCGTACCCAAGTTCCAAAGTGTTAGTGCTATTATAGAAAAAACAAATTATTATAAAAAGACCCTCCAAAGCTTACATGACACGCTCTACAGAAGATCCGCTGCACTTCTACTTTATCTATAACAAAACACTGCTATCCCGAAAATCGAACGGTCTGAAATCAATTACATAGGAAGTGTACCGTAGTCGTCGATACAGATGATTACTTCCCAAATTTATCCCCAAACGCCAAAAGAGTCGAGCGCGCAATTTTGAATTTAATTATTTATTTCAATGATTTTTTCTTTACTTGCAATAGCCCAAAAATAAAAATTAATCATCGTCATGTTCGAGAAGAAAGGAGGAAGAACACTATTGGCGAAGAGTAAAACCCTAGGGACGATCAAAACTAGAAGAACTAAGAAGATTCGGAAGATGGAAGGGACATTGGAGCGACACTCTCTGCTTCACTTCGGTCAATTGTCGAAGATTTCTTTCGAAAATCGTCCGCCGTCGAATGTTCCGTCGTCGGCGGACTCGTCGGAGCTCCGAAATCAGTTGGGTTCCGTTGATGTTGATACCAATTGCGGAGAGAAGGACTTTATTCTCAGCCAAGACTTCTTCTGGTAAAAATTTTGGATCTTAGCTTAGCTGTGTATATCTAATAAGTTGAGATCTATCGTTATCTTTTGTGTAGTAGCACTTTGGAATTAGTTAGTATTACGATTTCAAGATCTTCGCAATATCTATTTATTCGATTCTGTATATTGAAGAAGGTTACCCTTATTTTCACTTTTTTATATATATATTTAAATCTAGCTTGTCTGAAAAATCTCAGAGAAAGATGTTGTGATGGTACTGAGTTATGTTTAGAGATTTATGTTTAGGTACTGAGTATTGATGATTTCATGCTCTAGTTTGCAAGATGGTACCTTTTGATTCGTGAGATCTCTCAGCTACTAATCTTCTGATTTTTATTTTTTACAAGCACACCTGACTATATAACACCAGACAATCAGAACTTGATGAGCGGTTTAGACATCAGCAAGGTGAACTGAGAGAAAGCTCTGACTTTTTTTCATGATTATTATTTCACCGATGTCTCAAATTTAAAGTTATCTTTTTTTGTTTTTTTTGTGTAGGATCATTCTCCTTGTCCTAGGTCACCTGTTAAACTAAATACAGTTAAAAGCAAAAGATGTCGCCAGGGTAAGCTTTTCTTTCTATCTAGAATGAGTAGTCATTATCGTTTCACAAGTCTTCATTCCTTCCAGATTCACAGTATTGTTATCTAATGATTTGATGATTTGGTGAGGTGTTCATTTCCTATAACTCACTCGGCTAATGAATTTCTGTGTTTAATGCAGAAAGTTTCACACTGAATCCTGCTAATTCTACCTGGTCTTCAAAAAGTAGAGTAGATGAACAAGAGAATGATGATATTGACACAGATGAGCTCATGATGGATAAACTCCAAGCTAATCAAACAGAGAGGACTGGATATGTTTCACAGACTGCAGTGGCTTTGCGGTGTCGGGCTATGCCACCCCCTTGCCTCAAGAATCCATATGTGATGAATCAGTCTGAAACTGCTACTGATCCTTTCGGATATCAGAGATCAAAATGTGCAAGTAAGTTTGTTGTCTCCAAATTTCTTACTCAAGAATGTACTGAAAGACTTCTTCAGTAAAATGTATTAATTATATTGATGTTATGCAGGTTTTCTCCCTGCAAGTATAACTGGGGATGGCTTGTCAAGATATCACACTGACTTTCATGAAATTCAGGTAAGCGAAAGGTGTTCTTTTAACTTGGAGTTATGATGATGATAGAATTATGTTGCTGCTTCTTATGTAATTTGCTTTGGTTTCGTTTCTCCAGCAAATTGGTGTTGGACATTTCAGTCGTGTATTTAAGGTGTTGAAGAGAATTGATGGTTGCCTATATGCTGTGAAACACAGCACAAGGAAGTTGCATCTGGATTCAGAAAGGTATAATTCTCTGTAGTTTTCTTAGTAATAGAAAGACACATACTGTATCTGCTTAAAAAAACAATTTATGTCGTGTGGACCATTTTGTTCAAGTAATCATTACCAAGTTTTTGCAGACGTAAAGCTATGATGGAAGTCCAAGCTCTTGCTGCTCTTGGTCAGTACAGTCTCTCCTTTTTTCCTGAATCTATTATGTTATTCCCTGTTTGCAAGCTAAGATCAGCGTAGCCTCTATCTTATTTTGCATGTAGGGTTTCATGAAAATGTAGTAGGATACTACTGCTCGTGGTTTGAAAATGAGCAATTATACATTCAACTGGAACTCTGCGATCACAGCTTGTCCAAGAAATCTTCTCTTAAGGTCTCAGAAAGAGAAATTTTGGTGATTATGCATCAGGTAAACACTGACTTTATCTTTCACGTAACATCAAGTATAGAGAAAATTTTAATTCCTGAGAAGTCTTATCTGACCATATTATTGTACTATGTCTCTTGCAGGTAGCCAAGGCATTACAGTTTGTTCATGACAAAGGAATAGCTCATTTAGATGTAAAACCAGACAACATATACATCAAGAACGGTGTTTGCAAGCTTGGTGACTTTGGTTGTGCCACACGATTGGACAAAAGCTTACCAGTAGAAGAAGGAGATGCACGCTACATGCCTCAAGAAATACTAAACGAAGACTATGAGCACTTGGATAAGGTGGATATCTTCTCTTTAGGTGTCACGGTATACGAACTGATTAGAGGATCTCCTCTGACAGAATCAAGAAACCAATCCCTTAATATCAAAGAAGGCAAACTTCCTCTCCTTCCTGGCCATTCGTTGCAATTACAGCATCTGCTTAAGGTACGTTAGTTGCGTTCTTACTTCTGTGTAATCATGGCGGTCCTGAGATTTTTAACATAGCAGTTAAAGACGAATATTTCTAACATGCTTTTGAAACAGACAATGATGGATCGTGATCCTATGCGTCGCCCTTCTGCTAGAGAATTGCTAGACCATCCCATGTTCGATAGGATTCGAGGTTGATTCATAGACAGACTCTCAGGTGTCGAGAACTAAATTTTGTAAATTATGGTACCAATGATCGATCGGAGGGTATTGGTCCGTCCATGACCATGCACCAGTTATTATTTTTTTTGGCGTAAAAAGGGGTACCATAATCTTGGTTTCGGTACAAAAGATCCGTCTAACCAAAAAGCCTGAGTTGAAGATGTTGTTGGTTTTGTTGTAATTTTATGGCTCTTGTATATTTATGGAACTGTGAATTTTTGGTAACTATCCTTCATATCATCATCGTTTGATAGGGATAAAAGTGTCCAAGATTTTACTAAGAAGGTTTAATTGATTGCCTTATTAATCTTCTCTAATTGGCTTATTTATCATAATTTACTTTTCTCCTCCCCCTCAAAATATACCATAATTTCATAACCTTATGTAAATTTTAATAATAATCAATAGAATCAATTCAAAACTCTTTAAAAATCCTTTTATCATTATAATAATTCACAAGATAAAAAGAAAAAGAAAAAAACTCAAGACAAACTAAACTGATACATAATTCCAAATCCATAAATTACAAAATAGTGAAAATCTATCACTATTTACTTACCCTTAAATCTCATAAATATTATAATATTAAGAATTTAATAATTAACAATAGAATCATTTAAAACTCTAGAAACTCCTTCTTATCATTATCTTAAGAAAAGAAAAAAAAACTGATATATAATTCCAAATCAATAAACTGCAAAAATGGGAAACACAGATCTGTTAAAATACATAACTTAACTTTTCTATATATAAAATAATTGTAGGGTTTCAACTTTCCATATTTCTAGTTCCTTAAACATGTAAATTGATAAGTCTTTATTTAATTTAACTTTGTGTACTTTCTCTAAATATCTCTTTTTTTTATAAAGGAAATAAAGAAATAAAAATTTGACTTCACCGCCTTGGCAAACTCTATATAAGATCACACACACCTCTAGGCTTTTTTTTATTTCTCATAAGAGACACACGCGCACTTGTCGATTCTCATAGCTCTAGCAAATCCCGGTGAATTCGGATTCGATACTGTTCGTAATCTTCTGGTACGTGACGAACTAGGGTTTACGTTTGTACAATTTACTCTGTCGCCGATCTCGATTTCTTACTCAGTCTTTAGTCTTTAGTCTTCTCTCGTTCGATTTCCTCTGTTTCTGTTACTTGATGATCGAGTTAGGGCTACGTCTTCTTCTCTCTACTTTGTTTATCTTGGTTTCTTTCAGAGATAGGCTCGATTTTGTTTCGTTTGTCAAACTCCTTCTTGTTTCTCGCCATGGATGCGATAATATCTTATCGTTGTTCGTTTGGTAGTCTTAATTAGTTGTGGTTCGTGGCTTTGCTGATGAGTTTATCGATGTTGTTGATCGATCATAACCTCTCAAGAAGTTGTTGTGCTTATCCTGTCTTGTTGCTTTGTTGTAGAATCTTGAGCTTGCAAAGAGTGATGAAGTCCATTGAGTTTGAGCAAGGATGGTCTGTCATGGAGACTGGTGTTGCAAAGCTAAGCAGGATTCTCGAAGAACTGCCTGAGCCACCATTTCTTCCGGAAGAATATATGAATCAATACACGTATGTCTCCTTTATAATGATGTTTGTTGCTTTTCAACTCTTGCGTGCGGATACTTACCACAGTGTGTTATTAATACAGGACTATCTACAATATGTGCATCCAGAAACCTCCTCTCGATTACTCTCAGCAGCTTTATGATAAGTATTCTGAAGTAATTGCAACTTATAATAAGGACACTGTGAGTGAATACACCAACGTTTTAGTATGGGCTTGAATTTTGGATGTTGTTTTCTACTGCGGAGATTTAGCAAAACAGTTTGATATCTTTTTATGTTGTGGATAGGTGTTGCCGTCTTTAAGGAATAAGTTTGATGAATATATGCTGAAAGAGCTTGTTAAGAGGTGGGGTAACAATAAAGTTCTGGTAAGATGGTTATCCCGCTTCTTCGACTATCTCGACCGTTACTACATTCCCCGGAGAGCTCTTCCATCACTGAATGTTGCTGGCATGAAATCCTTCTGTGACATGGTTTGTCATGCTTTTCTCTAGCTCCTAGTTTTGCATTGCCACTAAGTATTTTGTAACTGTCAATGCAATTATCTACTTCAGGTTTATCAAGAGGTGCAGTCCAAGGCCAAAGACGCAGTACTAGCACTTGTAAGTACAGTATCTGTAACGAAACTAATTGAGTACCTCTGGTTTAGTGATCTAACACAATTTGAATTGCCAGATTCATAAAGAGCGTGAGGGCCAACAGATTGATAGAGCACTACTGAAAAACGTAATAGATGTCTATGTTGGGAATGGAATGGGACAGATGGAAAAGTACGAAGAGGATTTTGAAAGCTTCTTTCTTGAAGATACTGCATCCTACTATTCTTGCAAGGCCTCAAAGTGGATCCAGGGGGATTCTTGTCCTGATTACATGCTAAAGGTACGGACTCCGGAAATCATTTTTGGGTCTGTGCTTTCCTTTCAGTTTCAGGGAATTACATATATTAAACGTTTTTACTTTTATATTGCAGTCTGAAGAGTGTCTTAAAAAGGAGAAGGAGAGAGTCAGTCACTACCTTCATGTAGCCACAGAGCCTAAACTAATTGAGGTTGTTAGCTGAAATATATAATTATTTGGAATTTAAGGTTACAATTGTATTTGTAGACTGATAAGTCTTGGCTTATTTTTGGATGCAGAAAGTACAAAATGAATTGTTGGTTGTGGTTGCTAAAAGGCTTATAGAAAATGAGAACTCAGGGTGCCGTGCATTGCTAAGAGATGACAAGGTAGGCAACTTTTGTGGGTTTCTTTAATGCTTAAACAAAATATCTCATCGAAAGTTTTCTCTCTGACGGAGCATTATGGTGTGTACTTTCAGATGGGTGATCTCTCCAGGATGTACAGGCTTTATCATCCAATCCTGCTAGGGTTGGACCCTGTTGCAGACTTATTCAAGCAGGTTTTTATTTTATTCCATTCATTTTGCATTACAAATAAGAAATGCTTTCTGTTTGTTTCCTAATTACTCAGCATAGTTTTTAACTGAAAAATGTGTATACAGCATGTTACTGCAGAGGGAAATGCCCTTATCAAACAAGCTGCCGACGCAGCAACTAATCAGGTTTATTTTCTTTTCTCATTTTAGCAATGAGAAATCTCTGGTGTCGAAAATTAGATGTTAGTCTACTCCCTTTTTATTGCTGAGAATTTTTGTTCCCCAGGCTGCAAGTAGTGGTGGTGTGCAGGTGCAGGACCAGGTGCTTATCAGAAAATTAATTGAGCTGCATGATAAATACATGGTCTATGTCGAAGAGTGTTTTCAGCAACACAGCCTCTTCCATAAGGTCTGAGAGTGTTCACATGCCTATCTTTTTCAACAAGTTTTTTCATTAATGACCATGGTTTCTCTTTATGTATTGTAGGCATTGAAAGAGGCATTTGAAGTCTTCTGTAACAAACCAGTGGCTGGAGCGTCCAGTGCAGAAATACTTGCAACATATTGTGATAATATTCTCAAGAAAGGAGGAGGAACTGAGAAGCTTAGAGATGAAGCTCTTGAAGAAACGCTTGAGAAAGTAGTTTTCTTTTTCCTTCATATCCTAGTGCTAATGCGTTCAATGTCACATATTCCTTTTTGATGCTGAAGTTTTAATTATATCATTACAGGTGGTTAAGTTGCTTGTTTATATAAGCGACAAAGATCTGTTTGCCGAGTTTTACAGGTACATATCTCTTCCTCCGATTATTTGTTGAGATGAGGATAGTATTGGAATGGGATTATTAACCAGCTTTATGCATTTCGAAATATGATCGTTTGCAGGAAGAAGCAAGCCAGACGGCTCTTATTTGATCGCAGTGGTAGTGAAGATCTTGAAAAAAGTATACTTTTAAAGTTTAAAGAACTACTCGGTGGGCAGTTTACTTCTAAGATGGAGGGCATGGTCAGTTAGATGAGTTTTATATCCTTAGAAAATGGTTGTCTAGTAGTAACAAAGGTTATTGATGCGTGTTTTGTTTCATATAGGTGACGGATATTACATTGGCAAAAGATAACCAAATCAGCTTCGAGGAATATCTAAGCACTAACACCAACACAAAGCTGGGGATTGATTTGACTGTCACTGTTCTTACTACTGGTTTTTGGCCAAGTTACAAAACATCCGACCTCAATCTACCCAGTGAAATGGTAACTCTTTATTTCCAGGTTTTGAAATAGTGAAGGAAAAGATATTCTCAGCTCTGATAATTCCTCTTGTTTCAGGTCAACTGTATTGAAGCTTTTAAGGCGTTTTATGCAACCAAAACCAAACACAGGAGACTTTCATGGATTTATTCTTTGGGAACTTGTCACATATCTGGAAAATTCGATCAAAAAACAATCGAGTTAATCGTTTCCACCTACCAGGTAACTTTTATTTCGTTTCTGGTTTGTCTTCTTTCCGTGGCTTGGTGATATCTTTGTTGTTTGTACATAGCTAACTTAAAATACATATATACTGTCAGGCTGCTGTGCTATTGCTATTCAACAACACGGAGAGATTAACCTACACTGAGATCTTGGAGCAGCTTAACCTCAGCCACGAAGATCTTGTGAGGCTGCTTCATTCACTGTCATGCCTAAAGTACAAGATTCTTACAAAGGAACCAATGTCGAGAAGCATCTCTAAAACCGATACTTTTGAATTCAATGCCAAGTTCACTGATAAGATGCGGAGAATTAAGGTAAAATATTTGAGTTATTATCGTGTAGTCCTGGATGGACAATAATAATAATAATGGTCTATTTGTTTTCTTAAACTACAGGTGCCTCTGCCGCCAATGGATGAGCGGAAGAAAGTTATTGAAGATGTAGACAAAGATAGACGCTATGCAATTGATGCAGCTCTGGTTAGGATAATGAAGAGCAGAAAAGTGTTGGGGCATCAACAGTTGGTCTCTGAATGTGTCGAGCATCTTAGCAAAATGTTCAAGGTAAAAATACCAACAAAAAATAAAAACTCACAATTAGCTTAAAACACATATAAAGGACAGAGGATAAGAAAATAATGGTTTTTGTCTTTCTGCAGCCTGATATAAAGCTGATAAAGAAACGCATAGAGGACTTGATCAGCAGAGAGTATTTGGAAAGGGATAGCGAAAATCCGAACAATTTCAAGTATCTGGCTTAAGTAGTTGAACCAAATTAGTCACAAGAACAATTTGCTAACTGTTTTCGGTTTTGTAAATGACCTTACATTCTTTTTCTCGGACCATTTTGGACGGATGATAGAACAATTTTTATCTACACCTTCGTTTTTTCATAACTACATCATAACTCTGGCTGCTTTGATTTATTTTCATTATACGTACTTGTCGCTAATATAAAAATGTGGATAAATAATTTGAATAAAAATGATGATGAAAAAATTCCCTCTTTTCAGAAAACAATTGCTACAATGCTTGGTCGAGTCTCCTTGGAGCCTCTCTTTCTAAAGCACTCTTTATATATATGTACACTTAAAAATTATACACACAAGAAACACGAGATGGTAACTTTAATCTTTTAAACTTGGGAAAATCTCACAAATCAAGCTCCTAACCACTATACACTTGAGCAGTGAAGAGTTTGTTCATATAAAGGTCTCTGTCTTTAATCTTCCAAGGCCGCTTCTCCCTGAGAATGGCGCATGTGGGAGTATCACAATCACCGTTTTATGGATTCCATTGCCAACCTCACCACATGCAACAGTTCCTCCATGTCATGAAAATTGAAGTCAAGAGCCCTTTTGATGGATGCTATACCATCCCTACTGTATCTGGATTTCCCCTCTTTTGCAGCTGCAAATGCCATCTGAGCTTTTCTTGAGGCATCCATAGCAGAGCTTACTTTTTGCGACTACAAAGGTCCAAAACAATAATTTTATTCAAAACACACATTCAATCGCACCATTCAGATCAATGGCACAACTTTCACCAGAGGGAATTACTTTGTATGTGTGATGGATCATCTACACACCAACTACTGTTTTTCGTGACAGATTGTCCATGATGATGATAATAAAAATGATGCTATGTTTGAAGATGATTACTATTCATGTTGCTCAAGCAAGGAATTATCTCACTAAAACCTGTTGATATTTCCATAGATTCTAATTATTTTGTCGCACTAACTAGAGCTCAACATAAACTATAAGTACGAACTAACTATTTTACAGGACTCATCAAATCACAAAAGTAACATAACTGAACTTACAAATGCCAAAAGCTGTGAAACAGAGGAATTGTTTCCGGAAGAGATAACATGATTTCCAATTACGCTAGGGGATGATCTCACAGTGTTTGACAAAGCAACCTTTTCCGCTGCCAATATGTGGTTTGAATTCTCACCATCAGAAGCAAAGGAAGGAGACTCGCCTGTTTGAAACCCAAACAAGATGAAAAGATAATTTATCATTATCGTGCTCACAAGCAACAACAAATAGGAACACCATCTTATTCGTTAGTACCATCTTTTTTTAGTCTTGAATCTACTAAAAAAAAGTTTTTTTGTTTTTTTGTTTTTTTTTCACAATACAACAAACCCACCCATCTACTTGTGAAGATTTGTTCAGCGAATCTTGTTATTCAACAACTAAATGCAGCCCACGTGGTAGTGGCTTCTCCTCATATGGTTTAAGCCCATTTGTTGTAAATACAACAAGAACAAATGCTAAGATGTTTTCAGATCACTTCACATAAAAAAAGGTCATCCAAGAATCTTCCATATCGTGATTAATTTTCCCACCACCAGAAACATTTAGATCTTATAATAAATACCTGAAGGAATCACTTGCAACGCTGCTTGCAACTCATATCTGCATCTGCCTATGTTACCATGAGAAGTATAAGTTATCCTTAGATAAGCTACTTCCATACATTTATAAGCCAGAGCAGCAGCCCCCATATCTTTATTTTTCTCGTATTCATGAGCACAGAACCTGTTACATAAACAGTAGAAAAATCGTAACATCAGGACATGGTTCACTAGAACGTCATGACATACTAGATATATCTATAGGCCACAATGCAGCAGCTGAGCGAAAATGAGAGGGCAACATGAACAAGTACCATCACAGTGAAAGGCTCCCTCTAAATAGTATATTGGGGGACTTAATTGCGTTGACTATCAGAAGGATGCAGTTATCTCAGTCCCAAGAGGTGCACAACAAATCGAGTAGAAGAAAGTACAAATTAAGATCTTGTTGAATGCCAAACTTACGCGCAAAATTTTGCTGTGCTGTCATAAATATCCCTCGATCTGGCTGTGCCCGATGACTCCAAAAGGGAGGCACCATGAAGAAACTTAAGCGCTGCCTCAAAGTAACAACTTGTGCTCTCGTGATTGGACCCAGCATTCTGCAAAAGGTTACTGTCAATGTTAAGCCAGGGGAGAGACAAAATGCATAACCACTGCAACATTTTCCCAAAAATATGCCAAACCTTAAGACGATCAGCCTTGTGTTTTAAGTCTGTAGCCTCTTTGATTGGGTTGGACACAGCCTGACTCGTGGATTCCTTTTTTAAAGGGCTTAAGCCAACATGATCCTTATGCCTACTTCCATTTTGCTTTTGGTTTCGTGAATTCACACTGTGATTATCATTTCGCAGTATCTGTTTCTTTGTATTTGATATCTCACTGCCGTGACCCAAGACTACAACTTGGTCTGTGCCAGCTGGTGAAGCGGATCTATTCTCAAATTTCTCGGTGGTCACTTCCAAGTGGTTGCTTTTTCCATGAGAAGTTCTTGCTGTATCAGGTTTCCGTGGAGAAGAAAAACGACTACCACTTCTATCTTGCTTAGTATTAGGATCTTGATATTCCCTTGAGTCTTCTTTGTTACTTTCCATAGATACCTTTTTAGCATGTCTTTTCTTGCTCCTGCTTTCTTTTGTTTTTATGTTAACAGCAGTGCCAAGATCTTGTTCATTCACCGTACCCCAGTTATTATCTTTCAAAGGTGTAGATGACCCCTCTTCCCTACTCTTTTTTTGAGAGTCACCCTCTATGCAATTTTCACCAGATATTCTCCCAGAATTCTTTGGTTGAAAGTTTTCAATAGAACAATTCCCACCATATGCTCTCTCTCTATCCTTGACATTTTCTGCAGCCTTCTTTGTTGTCCCTGGTTTATCGATAGTGCTATAAGCTTCACCATCTCGGCATCTTTTTAATGTATCACCAGCATTAGAGTCAGCACCATGGCATTCATCACTCTCTGAAATCCTTACTGATTTAAGCTCACGCGAGTCTAACACCCTCAAGGCTGATGGGGCAACTGATTCAACCAGTGAACTTTTGTCTTCGTTGACATTATTTTTGACAATGTCAGAGCCCAATTCCTTACATAGACTCGAGGAGGACGTTGTAAAAGGTAGATGGGAAGCACTATCTCTACCATTTTCCTGACTAACTCTTCTGTCCTTATCACAACTTTCACTACTAAAAGGCAACTCCTTTTCATCATATCTTGAGGCCTTAAGCCTCTTTTTCTTTCTAACGTTCTCACCACTTGACGCCATTACTGTAGCTTCTCTAATTCTCATACAATCTTCACTTTCTTTACTTTCCTTCAGTTTCCTCTTTCTGTCATCACGTTCGCCATGAGAAGAAGCCTTAGCAATATCCTTTATATTTTCGGCTGAGGCTTGAGCAATCATAATTTTGTTATCAGCTAAAACGTCCAGAATTTTGTTGGAATTCTTTGATCCAGGTTGATCAATAGCTGAAAATCGTGATTTTCCAGTTTTTGGTTTCTTGGAAGTCACAGAAAGTTCCTTTTCGGATTTCATTTCCAAATTCTCCATTCCTCCTACATATGTATTCATCAAGCACATCAGATAGTTTAAACACAAAGTACATACTACAAGGAAAATCAATATCTTACACAAAATAATACCTTCAACAGAATGCTTATTTTTCACTTCTTGTCTAACACTATGCTTAGTGTTGTGCCTGTCTTCATTCAAGTCACCCAACTTAATAAGGTGTTTCAAATCTGGTTCATATACGAAATTTAGATTGTCACATGCCTCTTCATCATTTTTAACACTGTTGAAATTCTCTTCCAATGCCTTTTCTGCAGAAATCTTTTCTTTCCCAGCTTTAAGTACTGGACTACTTTGTCTTTCTTCTTTTAATTCTTTCGAATAGCCAAAGAGTCCCTTATACACGTGTTCACATCCTCCAATATCTTCCTGCAATTTATCTGCTACATTCTTCTTAATTATATTAATAGCAGCATCCTTGCCAGTCACACTATTCATGGCAACGATGGAGCTTGAACCTATTTGTGACTTCTGTGCTTTAGGTAGTTTTGACTTTAAAATTTGTTCTTCATTCCTTATCTCGCTCTGACTACCCTTAACCGCAGAAGGATAATCTACATGTCCAATACTTGGAGCTTTCTCCCGCTTGGATTTACTTTCCAATGAGTTTAGAGGTTCACCTTTTTTCAGTGACACGTCTTTTCTTGTGTGAATACTTTTAGTTTCCTTACCACTTCGATCTGAAAATGCCACTACATTATCTTCTAGATCAGGCTTTGAACCCATCGACGCTTCTGTGTTGTTCATTCCTCTTGATGTACCCTCCACATTAGAATCTGATACTTTATCAATCTCTTTTGCCGGGTGGATATATGACGGTGAGAGACAGGACAAAAGTGGAAGCTTCATAGTCTTGGAAACAAGCTCCTCACAGGAATCTTTGTCAGCCTCTTTTTCAGTATTGGATACAATATGGTTTCTGTCAAGCTTGTTTGACGGTGGTATATCCTTTACCCTCTCCTTTAACTTTTCCTTCTTCCCAATAGAAAACTTACCAGCACACTTTTGTGAATTAGAAACCCCCTTAACGTCCTGTGTACTTTTTGAGTCTGACGTGTTGACAGAACCATATCCAGCATCTTTCTTAATCTTATTTTTCTTTCCCAACTGAATAAGATCATCAGAGAGAGGTGACAACAACTGATCTTTATGCAAAGGGAAAGACACCATAGCCTACAGAAAGGAACATGTCAAGCTCATATTCACCAATTGTTCAATTTTTAAGCAGAAAAGAAATAGAAAACAAAATCACCATAAGAATTTTAGTCGGCGAATCGCAAATCCCGTTCAGTAAGTCTTCTTCAACATCTGAGAGGCAATTAACCCGCGATGCTGATGGTGGCATATTGAGGCCTAGTTTACTATAGGTTGAAACGTTCTTCAGTGATGAGAGGTCACTTGAACCAACTTTTATACGAAGTCTGAGAGTCTTATGATTTGATGAAGCAGAACAAGACGTTTTTGTGTCAGATTTTTGGTTGCTATCAGGTGTCCCTATATTACTTGATTTGACAAACTTTTTTAATTTGACCAAAACATCGGAAGCAGGAGCCTTTGAAGAGGATCCAGAGATTGATACTTGAGGTACATCAGATGAAGCTGAGCAATTAGATCGAGCCCCCTACAAAAAAGATTGCACATTAAGCAAGAAACTGTGATTTACAATAAAAGCTTTATCGGAAGAGAGAAAAATCCGACCTTAAAGTTAGAGTTGTTTAGTGATCTTACCACTTGGTTATGTTGAATCACTTCTGGTGGAGTCTTAGGACGTGAACAAAGAGGAGATCTCTGATACATAGACAAAAACGAACCATAGCCACCAAACTTTGCACCTATAAAAACATCAAATTCATAAATGAGAGATGCCTCAAAAGGTAAACATAAAGTAAGCAACAAACATAATATAATTCACAACTAGAAGAAACTTACCCAAATTTTCAGCTGAAACTCCACCTTCAAAATCTTTCTGAAAATGTCCCAAGACGTTTTCGAGTTTCTCATCCTTCAGAAAAAAAAAAGGGAAATTCTTATTTTAATCAAAGTAGTAGAAGAGAAAACATGTTTGGGAAGGTCAGAAGAAGTGAAAGAAGCTTACAATATAAGAGAGAGCAACATCTGGGTCAACGCAAGAAACATAAGAATGTGTGCTTTCTTCCTCAAAGTCGCTATCTTCCATTATCTCTTCACCTAAACCAGCAAACCCTAACCCTAATTCGCTTCTAGCATCGCTGCTGCTCACCGAAATCATCTAAAACCCTCCCCCCCCACACCCACCTATATCATACCAATCGAAGAAGCTAAAAATCTCTTTTGATTTCTCAGACAAAACCCAGATCGAGGTAAGAAAACTCTTAAATACCCATTCACAAACAGAGACTTGAACAACAAAAGCAGCCGATAAATCAGCTCAATTCGTTGGAAATGCTCAGAACGGATTCAGATACCAATTAGCTTACGCAAGAGAGGTTTCCGATTTGGAGCTCACGTAAAGAAATTTGGAGCAGAGCTAAGAGCTTGAGCTTGAGGGAAGAGATCGAAACGAGATTGTTATTCCTCAAGTTGTAAAATTCAAAATTCCGTTTTTTTGATTCCTCATTCTCTCTTTCTTGTCTCTATTTTCTCGAACCGAACTACAACAAAGAGATTTTACTCAACAAATTTGTTTTTCCTTAAAAAAAAACGCAAATTTATTTCGTTCGGACCAGCTCTCCACGTGATAGTGATGTCACGGCTTGTCTTATTAATTTGCACTTAATCTCGTTTTGTTACATGAAAATAATCACCCATTCTTACCAAATTTATACAAATAATTGGTTTTTTTTTGTTGCTATTATTACTAACCAAATCTTGATTCGAAAAGTTTTTTTTACATATTTGATGACTACTTTAATTTTGCGCTGGAATGACTGACTAATCAAATCAACAAATCTGTTTCGAGGAAACATTCTTGGAAAAAAATTATGAAATGTCTGCATCACATATATAATCAACTCAACAGACATGTAATAACACAATAACGAACCTAACTGTTTTATTCAAAGGTATTGAGTTCATAGAGCTTTAGAGGTTGATGAGGTATGGCTTTCCTATATCACAGGCAATAAGATTTCAGCAGCTCTATAGTTTGTATGCTGATTTGGATCTAAAATGTCATTTGAGTGCTGCTTCTACTGAGAGGCTTAGCTCGAACGGCCTTGAAACTGATCTCGAAGCATCTCGTACTTCTTAAGCTCAGCTATGGAGAGAGATGGCGAGAGCTGATCCATTGCCTAGACAGACGAGTGAGAATGATTATAACATATGAAACCGGAGATCTCTCAGGAAAGCAGAAACCACAACTTTTGGCTTCGAACTAAACCGAACAAAACCCAACCCAAACAAAACTTTGATTCTATTTCGGCATAGAACTTTTCCACTGACTAAACCGAATCAAACCAACTTACAATTTCTACCCAACTATGAAAATGGCAACTCTTTTGAGTAGATGGAGGGTTTTTTACCTTTATAAAATCAACATACTCTACAACAACTGAATCCGGATCATCTTCTAGAGGAAAATCCCCTGAATCTGATTGTGAGACCTGCATTTGCCAAGTATGCATATAGAACTTGATTTAAATAAACTTTTACAGAGAATATTAGAGACTTATATAGTTTTAAAGTGTCCACCGTCTCTCTCTCTCTCTCTCTCACCTTGCGCTTAGCTGCCTGAAACCAAGCATCCGCACACAATGCATACATATCGGCGCCAGTGAATGTAGAGGGACACTTCTTTGCTACTGAATAAAGAGATACATCTTCGCTTAACTTAAATTTCCGAGTAAGTGCTTTAAGGACCCTGTAAAAAACAAGAATCAGGGAGCTTCTTTATTTTTTGTCACTGAACAATAATCATGCTTTTGATTGTTTAAATGCGCAACCTTTCCCTGTAAGACGCATCAGCATTGACTCCAACATATAGAAGTTTGTCGAATCTGCCAGGTCGTAAAAGAGCTGGATCAATCAAGTCAGGTCTGTTGCTTGCCCCTATGATAAATAGATCCTGGGAAGAATCGCTGAGTCCGTCGATCTCTGCAAGCATCTGAGAGACCACTCGATCCATGACTCCTCCAGAATCACCAGAAGCACCTCGAGCTGGAGCAAGAGAATCAAGCTCATCAAAGAAGATCACACAAGGCCGGGCTGACCTCGCCTGCAATTAAGAAAACACATTACTTTAAAAATTATGCACATAAATTCATTAGGCTTCTTCTAGGGAAGAAGAAAAATAAATTACCTTTTCAAATATATCTCGAACATTTTTCTCTGACTCTCCAATATACATGTTGATCAATTCTGGACCTTTTACACTGAGGAAATTTAGGGAGCACTCTGTAGCCACAGCTTTTGCCAGTAAAGTCTACAAATTTCAATCAATAAACCACAAATTTAACTGCCAAAGCCAGACTATTAACAGACGCTAAAAGTCACAAACAAAAACGGCTTACTTACTTTCCCTGTTCCTGGAGGGCCATAGAGAAGCACACCAGAGCGTTTACGCAATCCAGACGAAAATAAATCTTTATGCAGGAGAGGTAACTGAACAGTGTCCAATATCGATGTCTTCACATCCTCAAGTCCACCGACATCATCCCATTTCACATTTGGAACCTAGAAAATACAAATAAACCTTAAGTTATCTACATCTCCAGTAACAGTTAAGCAGAGCTGTCTCATAAATAGGAAAGCAAACACGAAAAACCACAGAAAAAAACATGTGGTTATATTACCTTAGGAGCACCAAGGGCTGATGCATTTCTCTTCTTTGACCTGTCTAAAGCTTTAGCAAAGTCCTCCTTACTCGTTAATGTCTCACTGCTGTTACCTAATTGGCTTGCCTGGTCTACTACATCAACTCCACTAAGATTATCTGACAGAGAATTAAATTTCTTGGTCTCCGACTCTTGACTGAAAAATAAGTTGGCACCAGCATCAGCTACAAGAGCACGCAAGTCCCGAGGAAGGAAGCCAGAAGTCTGTCCCACCAATCCTTTCAAAAAATCATCTGAGCTGGTCTACAATGTGAGAATATCTAAGCATCAAGCCTGGAGTTGTTAAATATAGTTTGATAATAGACGAATAATTGGATTTGGTATCAATATCAAAACACAAATACTCAAATTATGGAACGTTGTACACACATACATTAAGGAGTTGAGAAACACCTTGGAGGGACTGAGACAGCATCTCTGATCTCTGTTCGTCATTCAAAGAGCCCATACGTATTTCATGGCTGAAGCAACGCCTGATTGTTGGAGAAAGACCCTCCGTACTTTCAGCAGATGCGATCAACAGCACTTGATGTCCCCTAAACTTCCCAACTTCTTCTGCAGACTGCATTAGCAGATATACAGATAAGGCATCATGCAAGGATGGATTCTTGAAATCAAGATTTATTATTCTTTACCTATTAAAGCCCTAAAAAACATCATATATCTGCTTATGAAGATAGGGAAGATGCTTTATAGGGTAAAAGGTCTAACACTACGAGTTGTTTGCCAGCTTAGCAATGATACATAATGCGACACCAATTTGGTATTTGAAAAGTGAACTTAAGTGAAACTTCAGGAAATGAAGAACCAAGGAAAGAAATGCAAATCTTACAATATTGCTATTTGAGTGTTCTTCCATGGAACTGTAGTCACCATTAGAAACTGGCTCAGTGAGTTCCCTAATAACCGATGCAATCTCAGAGGACACGCCAACTCGATCACCCGTTGAACCATCCTGAGAGCCCAGATTTTTTAACGCATCAAAATGCCGGAGCAGAAGTATCGTTGGTGAATATCTGTGACAATGAAACCAAATGAAAACAAGGCTTTCACAAAGCTAGTGATAAAATACGTTTCCTGAATAAAGAGCTCAGTAATTACCAATATTATGAAGGTATAGTAATTTTCACTTCACAAAATACAGTCATTTACTAAATGCAGAGCATAAAGCATGTCGCTGTGTATAGAACGAAAAAGAAATATCTGAAAGAAGAAGTAAAAAAAAACAAGCCCTTTTACCTTCTTGCCATATTAAAAGTCTGGGCCAACGCAGCAGATGTTTTCCTTTCAGATGATGCTAATAAATTGTGACAGCTATATTCAACTACATGCAGTCCCAACCTCCTAGCAACATAGTTAACAACAGTTTTCTTCCCGCACCCTTAGACAAGCATAAGATACAAAAAGCTATCAGCACCTGATTCATTTATATGCGTCAATCAAACGTAAAAAAACTTTTGTTTCTCCCAAATCACTAATTGGGAACACAAAAACAAGTCTCTTCCTAGTCTTTCCTTAAAAAATTTCTCCACATAAAGTTTAACACTTAAGAAGAGATATGAAGGTGAAGAATATTGTTAATGAAATAGAAGCAAACGTACCTGGAAGACCATGCAATAAAACAGAAACTCTGAGTTTAGAGGCAAGTGCTGATGGACAGAGAGGTGGCGAAAGCACTGATGCCAAAATATTTACTATGTCCTCCTGTAAGGGGATAGGAACCTTTGATCTAGATACCAGCAAATCTGGTGGAAGACCAGAAGAGACAGTTCCTCCAAGGACAAGGGCGGTTTGGGAGTGATTGACTAGAAGAAACCTCTCATGAGAAGGTTCCATCGCAACGACCTGCGCAGAGCAACTAAAATTTCAATAAGTTCTGGACAAAATGAGCCTTTTCCTAGTAAAAAAAAAACACAAAATTACCTTGAAATATATAAAGTCGTCGCTTTCGGAGCACAACCTTTGACTACATGGAATGCATATACTTGAACCACAATTCCAGTCAATGTAAATGCGAAACACATCGCCTCTTGACAGATGTCTATCAGTTCCAAAATACTTATGCAATGCGGAATCTATTAAACCTTGTCGCTCTTCAGCTTCAAATGATGAATTGACTTTCAGGGATTGAATGGAACCACACTCGGGGATTTTAACAAAAGAAACTCTCAGATGTGATGCATAGCCAGGAACTTTGGACACAGGTTCCAAATCCAAACCAATCTGTGAGCCAGATTTTTCGAATAACTCCTCGTCAAACTTAGCTTCAAAATACTTGTCTAAGACCCCGTTGCCTTGATGGACGAGGGATTTCAGGCAAGATATGTGCAAGCTAAGATTAAAAGCTAGCATTGGGGACAAGTAAGCAACCTCTTGATCTAATAATAATTGTTGGGCCATCAAATCATAAGTGGGGAAGACAAGCATCGTATGAACAGGAATTCTAGTAACAGATGCATCTCCCAGCGTGTTGGGAGGATCAAGTACAACAACTTGGGCAACCCGCTGAATGCCTATCTCAATGTTCTCGATAACAACCTAACATTACAAATACTCATCGTTAACATCAACAGTTACAAACATCTTCCTACATAAACAATTCTGCAAAGGGACTTACCAAAGAACCAGAGTTGATAGATAGTCTCTTGAGCAATTGAGTGGAGAGTCCCACCAATGCAGAGTCATCCAATTTGGCATCATCGGGGCACCGGAGAATGCCCGCAGACAGCCTAACGTTCCCTCGTAACGAGTCGTGATTCGGAACTCGTTCGCCGTCGGAAGAGACGGGCTGTAACGAATTGAGCACCGAACGGAGTGTAGTTCTGGTGGATGATAGAACCAGAGGATTCCGTCTCTCCACCATTCCAACGGAATCAAATCGAATTCCCAATTACAGTTTAGGAAACAAAAAGAAACCCTAATTTTCCATTAGAAAAGCTTGAGATTCGCACTGAAGAGATTTCAATTCAAAGAGACTGTATGTATGTTCACAGTACGCTAACCGAGGAAGAGGATCAGATGACACTCTCGGGACGGACGATGATAAGCAAATTTTTCCTTTTTTTTTTACATTTCCTTTTTCCTTTAAAAAAAAAAAAAAACTAATTGCGTTGTTCATAATTATTATGTCAAAATTAATAAAATAATAATAATCTGTTAATATTTTTGAATTGTGTCGAGCTAATCCAATGGCCTTGACGCAATTGTGCAAGACCATCAAAACTGGCCAGCATTCTCCAACATGTAAAATGAGTTCTTTGTGTTATGTGTATCATTTTCCTCGTTTTTTTTAATTAAGATTCCGCGTTCTTGTAATTAAGCAAATTGTCTTGTTCGTTTTATCAAATCACTTGATTCGGAAGCTTTTTTAAAAAAATGTTTTCCCTCCCAATTGATTACCAATCAAGAAGTAATATTTTAATTAATGCGTGGTTAACAAAAAAAAAAATCCTTATACTATTACTATCTCTATATATAGCAAAATTTTAAAAATTAATACAAATTCCAACATATTAATTATTAATCAATTTGATGAAAAAAAAACAACATTTTTCTTTATTTTCAAGTTACATAATCTGATTATGATTCGTTGAACAAAAAAAAGTGATTATGATTTATACCTTAAATAATTTTGTCTTTTAAAATTTACCCTAATCAGCTAATCTTGCTCAACGATCGTGAGAGATCCAGAAACGAACAAAACTCGAAACAAAACTAAACCTTGATTATGTATGTACACTTGCCCGATCATAATAGTAACACTATTTGTTTGGTATATGAATACGAGTAGTAATTAGTTATTGATCAACCTCGACAACAAAGACTTATCATATGTATCCATCATGAAGTGTTAGTTAATCATAATTACCATGAAAAAAACTATATAAAAAAAAAAATTAGGTTTCGAGGGGCTCGAGAAAATCGATCAGCTTAACATCATTACATAAACAGCCTTAAAGCTAAAATATAAATCTCAATCGGTGTAATCACTATTATGAATCACTACTACAGCTTTCTTAATTCTTTCTTTTATTTTATTTTTCTGACCAAAGCAAAGTAAAGGCCCTAATTTTGTTTGGACCACACACAAAACAATACATTTTCCAAATTAAAAGCATGGAGTAATCTTAAAGCTTGGTTTCATCAAATCGCATACATGTTCCTTTTAATTAAAACTTTGCATTATAAAATCCACAGATAAATTAACAGACAAACAGTAGTAATACAGTGTGTATAGCAACATCAAATTAATGATCATCTTAATAATATTTTGGGCAAACAAGAGTGGACATAATCATTACGGACCATAGGTCTCAACATTAGAAAGATAGAAGAAACCTTAGCCCATAATAATGGATGTAAATGCCTCAAAGGACAACTACTAGCAACTAATCTATATATATACAAATACATGCATTGATTTCACTAACTTCATAATGATCCCAGCTTTACACGTAATTAGTAGAATTATTTAACCCGGTTAATCAAAAACCCTTTTCTCTACCTTTTTCGCGTCATTAACTACGTACAGTATTCACTACAATTACACAACCAAAAGAGCTCTTCTTCTTCTTCTTCTTCTTCTTGTTCAGTGTGGATAAGAGAAAGAAATAGAGAGAGGAGAGGAGAGGAGAGGAGAGGAGGGAAAATGGGACTTGTTACAGTCGGAGAAGTGAAGCCAGCTTTCACAGGAAAGAGAGGGTTCCGTCTCAATTCAAGCATCAGGCATGCCTCTGAATGGTAATATACTTTGTTCCAAAAGAAAAAAGAAAAAAAAACAGTTTTGCCAATAATTGTTACCAAACAAACGTATCTTAGTGAAAACTATGGTTCTTGTGTTGTCTGCATTCACATATTTGTTTACACTGTCAGAGAAAACGAATTAAACATTTGTTCTTTGTGATGATATTTCAGCCAAAGATTCAATCTTGTATGTGATGTGGATCTGTAGCCACAAGTTATTTCTTTTCCAAAGTCTTACCACGGTTCATTTGAAACCAATAATTTCTTCATCTTGTTTTTGTATCTATGTGAAACATATCCGTACATAAACAAGTCATCTGGTTCTGTCTTCATTTGAGAAAGTTTGACGTAGACAAAACCTTAAAGGTCCCTTGTGAATCTAAAAAATGTCTTCAAAACCAGGAAAATTAATACACTATTATTAGCGATAAATTCACTGTTACGTTATCTTAGGATTTTTAGCGTCGGAGTCATGGAACACACAAGCAGTTCTTATATGATCGTCAAATTCAAGTCCACACAGATCCGTTCATTCATAATTTTCAGAAATCCTTTTGCTTATTGAAAATTCTCGTAACCTTAATGAGTTTTTATCTGTTTTCCCAGGCCGATATCCGATGTCTCTAGTGATCTTACAGTTCAAGTTGGATCTTCAAGTTTCTGTCTCCATAAGGTAAAAAAGCAAACACAAGAACCTTGAAACAGAGTATCCTCTGTTCTTGAGTTGTATTGAAGTTACTTGTTGTCTTCCTTTTCTCAGTTTCCTCTTGTGTCTCGGAGTGGGAAAATCCGAAAGCTTCTGGCGGATCCAAAAGTCTCTAATATTTGTCTCCCCAATACTCCTGGCGGATCTGAGGCTTTTGAACTCGCAGCTAAGTTCTGCTATGGAATCAACATTGAAATCAACCTTCTTAACATAGCTAAGCTCCGTTGTGCATCTCATTATCTTGAGATGACAGAGGATTTCTCAGAGGAGAATCTCGCTACCAAAACAGAACTTTTCTTCAAAGAGACAATCTTCCCCAGTATTTCTAATTCCATCATCGTTCTACATCATTGCGAAACCCTAATCCCAGTTTCCGAAGATCTCAACTTGGTGAATCGGTTAATCGTAGCTATTGCCAACAATGCCTGCAAAGAACAGCTAACCTCGGGTCTTTTAAAGCTTGATTATACGTTCTCGGGTACGAATATGGAACCAGAAACTCCATTAGACTGGTGGGGCAAGTCGTTAGCTGTTCTAAATCTTGATTTCTTCCAGAGAGTTGTCTCTGCGGTTAAGTCTAAAGGGTTAAGACAAGACGTGATCAGCAAGATTCTGATAAGTTACACGAATAAGTCTCTTCAAGGGCTAATCGTTAGAGATCCGAAACTGGGGAAAGAAAGGGTTCTTGATGTGGAATGTAAGAAGAAACAGCGACTGATTGTGGAAACAATAGTGAGGTTACTTCCAACACAAGGAAGAAGAAGCTCTGTTCCAATGGCGTTCCTTTCAAGTCTTCTCAAAATGGTAATCGCAACATCATCATCCGCTTCTTCAGGATCCTGTAGATCAGATTTAGAACGAAGGATCGGTCTGCAATTGGACCAAGCCATCCTCGAAGACGTCTTGATTCCCATAAATCCCAACGGAATCAACAGCACCATGTACGACATCGATTCTATCTTGAGAATCTTCTCTATATTCTTGAACCTCGATGAAGACGATGATGAAGAAGAACAACGTCATCATCTTCAATTTAGAGACGAAACAGAGATGATCTACGATTTCGACAGTCCCGGGTCTCCAAAACAGAGCTCAATCTTAAAAGTATCGAAGCTAATGGATAACTATCTAGCAGAGATAGCTATGGATCCAAATCTCACGACCTCGAAGTTTATAGCTTTAGCAGAACTCTTACCAGACCATGCTCGTATCATCAGTGATGGACTCTATCGAGCCGTTGACATTTACCTCAAAGTAAGAAAATCATCAATCTTTCTTACATTCTTTGCAATTGCCAAAACTCATATACAGTATAAGGTTTTTCTTTATGACAGGTTCATCCGAATATAAAGGATTCAGAGCGTTACCGTCTCTGTAAGACGATAGATTCACAGAAACTATCACAAGAAGCTTGTAGCCATGCGGCTCAAAACGAGAGATTACCTGTACAAATGGCCGTACAAGTGTTGTACTTTGAGCAGATCAGACTCAGAAACGCAATGAGCAGCAGCATTGGTCCTACTCAGTTTCTATTCAGCAGCAACTGCCATCAGTTTCCTCAACGGTCAGGAAGTGGAGCAGGTAAATTACCTTCTTACACCTATTTTCAGACCCTCTTATAGTGTAACACCATCTAATGTAGTAGTCTAAAGCCTTTTGTTTGTTTGTTTGCTTGTTTTTCTTGGATCACAAGGGAGTGGAGCGATATCTCCAAGAGATAACTATGCGTCGGTGAGGAGAGAAAACAGAGAGCTAAAGCTTGAGGTTGCGAGGATGAGGATGAGATTAACGGATCTAGAGAAAGATCACATCTCGATCAAACAAGAACTCGTGAAATCTAATCCAGGGACTAAGCTTTTCAAGTCGTTTGCTAAAAAGATAAGCAAACTCAATTCTCTTTTCAGTTTTAGTAGTCTTAAACCTTCCTTCAGTGGCAAGGCAAGTTCTGAGAGTCGTTTCTTGTTTCAGAGAAAAAGACGACACTCAGTTTCTTGATTTTTAAAGAAAACATAGAATCTTCAGATTTCAGTCTTTTTTTATTCACTTTGTATAGTGAATGGGTTTTTATGCTGGGGAGTTTGATAAGAGATTGTGTGTGTATGTATAGCTTTATACAGTTGTGTTTGTGAAATGTGAGGGATGGTGTTTTGTCCGGTCTTTACTAAAGATTTGTAACAAAAAGAATGTGCATGTTGCCGAGAGCCAGCATACTCTCATATTATAACTTACAAAATTCAGCAAAACACAAAGGCATAATCATAACTGATCACTTTATACGTAAATACATATCATGAAAATAAGATTTTATTCCTAAACAATTGCGATTGCATTCATAACACAAAAGAGAAATTATCAAACTGCGTCTTTCTTCTTTTTGATCTTCTTCATGTACTTACACCTAGCTATATATGAATATACATATGCTTCAAACATTTTTGATCATATCTCGAGGTGTTTGAGGCATATATACATGTTTACTCTATACTAAAAGATAAATAATAATATATAGCTGTATGTATATATGCATCTCGAAATAAAAGGCATTACGCGTTTAATTTGGGATTGAAAGTCTCTCAAATCCATATGGCTCCAGCTCTTCGGAGCAACGAACCTAGTTGGTTCCTGACTTGAAGAGACATAAGCTGGTTTGCACCACCTACGAGCTGTTGTCCTATAAAGACAGCTGGCACGGTCGGTTTGCACCCAAGCTCGACCAGTGCTCGTTCGACTTCTGGCCCATTAGACATCTCATCTAGCTCGTACACCGTTGAATTCGCTCCGTATCCAGATATAAGCGACTTGATCGTGTGACTCATACAGCAAGAGGTCTTGCTGAATATCACCACTGGCTTGTCTTCTAACAAATTTGATATCTTCTCCATTGGTATCGTCTGAGTCTACGTGTGTATTAATGTAAGTAACCCTCTGTGTGTATTTCGTTGTAAGTAATGTGGAGACTTTGGTTTAAGTCTGGATCAAGCAAAGTCAGTGGTATTATTTATAGAGGAACTTCGTTTCGTAAAAATTACTGTCAGCCCCTCTTATTTTACATGAATTGCTTGTTTAAACCCTATATTGTTTTTAATTGATGCTTTATACTTTTGATGTTGTTCAGATTGATACCTGATCTAATATTTTTTAAAGAATAAACTGAAGATTTTTGAATTGTATTTTGATTCTAAACACTTATTTTCAGTTATCCAAGCCCTATTTCAATAAAATTTGGATAAATTTAAACCCTAAATTCAATATAAAAAAATCCACTTGGGGGAATTATATTGAAGAAACATTGGGGGTTTATATAGGAACAAAATTAAATATATCTGTCTCGATTTGTTTTTTTTTTTCTGGGAGTAAATATGCAAAATAAATGAAGATTGAAAAGACAGAACAAGAGAAAAGTTGAAGAACATTGGAGAGCCTATCAGAAAGAGAACCACAATCAACAAAGATTCTATCTCGTTTTCGATTTTTCAATAAATCATCATCATATATATTAAAAGAAACAACATATCAATATATGCGTACACATTGAAATTATATTAGTTATATTAATAGCATAATATATATATACCATGAAAGAGCCATTACCCCCATTAATTAGTGTCGTTTATGCCGTACAAGCTGGAAGAGAGATCACGAGGAAGATGCTCCTTCTGTACGTTCGGATCATTCGACCGACAAGAAATTAAAAGAGAACCAATCTCTCCGAACCATCGCAATCCATAATGATATGGTTAAATCCTTAAATCTTATATACATTATACGCTAATATATATATATATATATATATATATATACCTATATATTATCATGTAATTCTCCCGAGAATGGAAACTTAAATTTGATTAATTTAGTACTCAAAACCTCACGTGATCATTAAATTTTGATATTTCCCTCAAAAAGTGCATGCTCTAATACACTACTTCCAAGTTCCAACTATACTACGACGTTAGCAATTAGGATAGAGAACTGTATCACATATCTTCAGTTGACGCTTTCAATGCGATTTATAAAGAAGTTTATTTTACGTGTTTTTTTCTCTCTCTTAATTCTTCTGTTGGATATACATAATAAACTAATTTACAACCTCATCGTTCCACTTATGTTATCAACTACAACATATATATTATTTTGATGAGTCTCATTACAAAAGGAAATTGATTCATATGTGCTTGCTTCAATTGGTAGATGTATTTTAATGATTCCATTGCTCACATGTATCTCCCATATATATATATGAACTTTGCCCTGAAAATGGTTTGATTCATAACTTCATATCTGTACATTGCCCTAAAACTGGTTTGGTTCATAACTTCATATATAATATCTGTACTTCGAGTTTGTAGACTTTATATTCGCACGAGCATAACAAACGTACGAGGACGTCGAATCTATAAATGATACTTATTAGGAAAGTTACGATAAACATAAATAACTTAAGCTAAGAGAGTATGGTTACGTACGTACTCATCATTAATTTTCTCGATAGACAATTTTTTACAACCCTAACAGATAATATAATACTCCGCGCCGGATGATACAAAAGATAGATCAAAACGTATATTACCGATAACATTTTCACTTCTTTTTTTTGCATCAGAATAAGCATAGCTAGGAAGGAATGTTTGAATAATGCACTATTTTTTTCCTCATGAGATAAAAAAAGAAGAAGAAAATATTCTTTTAGAGTAGCAGCAGTGGATGAAAAAAACTCAAAAAAATTGGAAACGTGAAAAAGTGCAAAACCAGAGGGTGAGGAACGTGTCGGTAGAAGAAGGGCTGGCTCGCTCTCGTTCGATCAGATCAAATACTACCGGAGAACATATTCTCGACGTGAAGTAGAGATTACAAATGGACCCAACTTTCTTTGCTTTTTTTAAATTCCGGAAATTAATTTCTATTTTTACTTATCACTGTTTAGTTTAATATATATATATATTTTTTAAAAGAGATAATAATGTAGTAGATCAAATAATATCCAAAGAAATTATGCGTATATGCGGGGAAAATGTGAAAAGCAACGGTAAGCTGTGTTTATATTCCAACAAAGGCAAGAACAGTATAGGCCACGTATCTCTCTCACATAACTCATCAGTTTACACATTTATTCATATTTGATTTCGATGCTCTTTTTGTGTGTGTGTGTGCATGGATATATGAATAAATAATAAATCTCTTTCTATCTACTTCATTCGTATATATATTTCAAGATCCTTTCATTTGTGGTATATAAAGTAATTTGGCTCTATGGAATTTCGAAGGGCCGGTTATTTACTTGAGGTCGCACATGAATGTTAATTGGCTCACTTAATTAAGTAAGCCGATTATGTTTTCCTTTTCTTGGGGTAAATGAGTTTCATGTACGACGACGAAACTCTCAATCTAAAATCCATCAATTTAATTGATATCTCGTAACACACAGATTCTTAGATGAATCGGTCACTATACCAATAAGGAAAACGCGTTAAGCAAGAGCATTACTAATAAGATTGCTAAACACCCTGCACATTACAATCAAACAGATGCACTATTTATTTTTATTTTCCATACATTTAGCCGATGATGTTGACACATCAGTAGAAGTTTTGATAATTACGTATATCTCTATGAGTTAGTTCCTATTTTGCTTTTGTTGTTTGCGTCTATATGTATATAGTAGTGATGGATGCATGATGATAGTAAAGTGTCGACATGTAAGCATATATATATATATATATGATCATATTTGTGTCAATAATCTGTTTTATATACGCATATATGCACATTATAATTAAGGTTAACATCTCTATATTAATATCCTAGTTAATCACTAAGTAATGGTAAAACAAAATGGAAATATCGGTAGGAAAAGTCCCAACTAAGGTACCTAAAATTTAATCCAATTTACCGGAAACTTAAAGCTAAACAAATCTTAAATTTTATAAACCGATGGGAAGTAGAATTTTTCCGGGGATTAGATAATAGAGTTGGACCAATCAAATTGTCCAGATCCTGGCCCAGTGGGCCGGCGATTTGGGGTAGAGCAACGATGATGACGTGGCTATTAATTAAATAAAAAATATATTATTTGTAATTATTATCCCTGTGCAATGACATCGTCAAGAAGGCACCGCTTCGCTCGAATAAAGAAAAACAAAAATACCTGAGTTTTTGTTGATTCGAAACTAGTTGTTGTATTTCTATCTTAATTGTTCATCTTTCTCTGTTTCGGCTATTTGAGTGATAATTTCAGTTTTTGTGTTCATCAATGGAGGTTTCTTCTTTCTCCACTGTATCCAGATACTGTACTTCATACTCGTCTCTTCCAGGTTTCTTCTCCGTTTCTCCATTCTAATTTTGTTTGACCTCATCAGAGGATTTCAATTTGAAAGAGCTTACTACTCCCGATACTAATCTCTCGTATTCTCGATTCGTATTGCAGAATCGTCTCGTTTCAGAGGATTCAAAGTTCACATACGGGACCAATCTCTTTCTCCTGTTCAATTAAGCTTAAGGACAAGAAGAAACCCTCGTAACTTGGTGGGTTTTCTCTAAAGTAAACAAGTTTAGGATTCATATTTGACTCTCTTGTGATTTGCTTAATCTTTTTCTTGAATTGAATCGACTCTTGCAGATTTCTTGCAGTCAGAGGAGAGACGCCACGGTTGTCGATGGAAGGTAGATCCCTACATCAGCTTATTTCTAGACTGGTGTTGTGTATAATTATCAATCTCTTAATCATCTCAGCAACTTGCAGCTTTCTAACGATTTTTTTAGTTTATCAATCTACTGTTGTGTTACTCTTTTCTAAGATTATCAGACTGATATGAGCCGCTTCTCTAGATCAGTCTTTTCTCAATCTGGCCAAAGATACTTAATTACTAGCTTAGGAACTCCATGTGTTATATATTGTTCACTTCTCTGCTCATTGCTTCTACCAAAGTCCTGAGACACTTTTCTTCTCCTTGGAAGTTGTATGGATGAGATATATGATAAGCTGGCAGAACGTCTTGTCCCTACATCAGCATCTATGTTTAGCCCAAATGTTAAGTAAGTTTCCTACTGTTTGGAAAACTCTCTATAATTGCTGTCCTAAACTGTTCCTTTGGCTGCACCCTAGTATGTAGATTATTCTTTATTAACTATGTGTGTGTTGACTTGTTTAGACATTTGGTCGGTTTGGCTGGTCCTCCTGGTGCTGGAAAAAGCACATTAGCATCTGAAGTAGTACGTCGTGTAAATAGGCTTTGGCCTCAGAAAGCTTCTTCTTTTGATGCTGAGGTTAATCCTCCTGATGTTGCTATAGTACTTCCCATGGATGGGTTCCATTTGTATCGTTCGCAGCTTGATGCAATGGAGGTTGAGCTTTTATTTTATTTTGTATAGCTCTCTTTCTCTTAATCTATTTCTCTTCGTTTTTAATCAGACTTTTCTCTCTCTCTCTCTCTCTCTCTCTCTCTCTCTCTCTCTCTCTCTCTCTCTCTCTCTCTCTCTCTCTAGGATCCCAAAGAAGCCCATGCGAGAAGAGGAGGTGAGATCTATTAGATTTATCTTCTACATAAGATTTCGAAATGTTCAAAATTGGTTTGACCCCTCTATCCATTAACCAGCTCCATGGACTTTTGATCCTGCACTATTGCTTAACTGTTTAAAGAAGTTGAGAAACGAGGTAAATAGATAGTTACAATATTTTTGTTGACCTTAGAATCTTGGAGTTACAACACTTACATTAGATTCTGATTAGTTTTCAAGCTGTCCAGGGCTCAGTTTATGTGCCATCATTCGATCATGGAGTTGGAGACCCAGTTGAAGAAGATATCTTTGTTAGCCTCCAGTAAGTAGCCAGTAGCTGCTGTCTAAGCCTGTTGAGTCCTAATCCAGTATCATATAAAATGGCTTTATTTACCATTTCCGGAGACAATCAGTTTTCTTTGTGTCATTTTTTTACAGGCATAAAGTGGTAATTGTAGAAGGAAACTACATCTTGTTAGAAGAAGGATCTTGGAAAGACATCTCGGATATGTTTGATGAGAAGTGGTAAAACTAATCAAAAGTGTTTTTTTTTGCTTATTTTCGATTTCAACACTACCAGTAGGAATTATAATGTCTTCCATCTACATTTGAAGGTTCATTGATGTCAATCTAGATACAGCAATGCAACGTGTAGAAAACCGACATATCTTAACTGGTATATATACCGATCTTTTCAATTCTTAAAGACTCGTAGTGATCTTAGAGAATCCTTGTTTTGTTTAATACGTTTCTCCTTTGCGTACTACAGGTAAACCACCAGATGTTGCTAAATGGCGGGTAAAAGCTCTGACTCTACTCTGCAAATATTTAGTTATAAGGTTTCTCAATGGTTGTTTAGTGTAGCTACAATTTTCATTAACATTTGGATGGCAGGTTGATTATAACGACCGACCCAATGCAGAGCTGATAATAAAGTCGAAGTCGAACGCTGATTTACTGATCAGATCTATTAACTTTTGAATCTACTTTCTTGGAGGCTATTGCCTGAAGATGGTTAGCTTAAGACAAAATCTATTTTCTTGCATTGGAAATCTTTTTTAATAAGCAATTTGTGTATATACTATTTCCAATGTTCTTTCAATATACATACATGGATTTTGTTCATACATCGAGTTATTTAAAAAAATAAAATAGAAGGCAAATCTATATGATAATTGTAATAATCATCGTTTTAATAATTGATTCACCAGTCCAGATCCCAACTACATTTTGAACAGTTAATGATCTTATCCAAATGAGTGCAACAGAACAAGAGAAAAAGATCAAAAAGCACAATACTATTATACTACTAACATTTTGTATATTCCTTTTTTTACATAATACAACGCGATCGCGATCCCACACATTTCACTACTACTACTACAGCTAGTTACTAGTACTACTCTCAAAGCCTTTCCTCCTCAGACACACACACTAAAGTCTTTAAACAAAAAGAGTTACTTTCATCAAAATGATAAAATATTAGCCAAGCAAGCAAGTGAGAGAGCCTTTTTCTTCTTTCGACAAATCCCATCTTTACTTCTTACTGCACAAATCCTACTTAGATTCCACCTCCAATGTCTTTTTACTTACCTTTCATCAGTCACAAACGTCTAGTAGTGGGAAAACGAGCAAATTGTCAATCTTCAGCTGAGCAACGTTGGATGCTGTCCATAAACAAAATCTACGGTGGAGGATTCATCTCTGGTTTGACAACTGAAGAAGTGTCTGGTGGCTGAGAATGGTAAATCGCCATTGCCAATGAGATTGGCATTATGCAAAGAGCCTTTGATTGCAAAAGCTGCATCGCTGCTCCAACGTTTTCTTCCATCAGCTTAGCCACTTGCCGCTCTGTCCCATCGTTTGACCATTTCTCCCACACGGCCTGCGTCTCATCCTGAAGAAATGTTAAAACCAGTAAGTGATCAAACCTACCTATTACCAAAGTTCTCTACTTTAGTTCTCGCTTTTAAGTCTATCTCTCTCTTTAGTCTAACCTCAATTGATGATGACAATGGCATTTCAGTGACTAGTGGTGCGACAGCACCGGCTCCACCAAGACGGCTCATGCTCAAGACCTGCCACAGTTGACCAGGGATAATGCTTATGAAGGAAAATTATTATCAAATCCCATCATTGCATAATATTCTTCAATGTTCTCATTAGCTTTATTTTCATAGTCCTCAATTGTGATGATTCTCCATGGGAGAGAAGCAAGCAAAAAGTGAAAGAGACTAATGCCAAAAAACACACAATCATGTGCTCTTTGATTACTCTTTGTTATCGGATTAAACAATTATAATCTTTTATTCAGATTGGAATTTTGGTTAAAGAGTAGGTGGTGGTGGGGACCAAGGATTTATACTACGAAATCCTTCTGGGTGTTTTAAATAATCTCTCTACAAACTTTTAAAGAAACCAGATAACTTAAACTGAAAAACGACTGGATTTTTACCTTAACTTGGAGCCTGAGAAACTTTACATAATCGACAATCTCATCGATCATAGCAGCTCTATCTGTCTGCAAAAAGAAAGTAAACGCAACAGAAATCTTTATTAATGACAATTGCAAAGTTTGTGAATACCGCAGTTTCTATATGCCAATTACAGAGCTTCTCTCTCATTGAGAATGCCAGTTTTCTGATTAGCTTTGAGCTCTTTTTCAAGCTATCTTCGCGACATGAAAACATATCTTTACACAACTGAAGCTTTAGGGAAAAGATACCAACCTTGTTAACAGTAGGTACAAGTTCCTGCAATGCTCTGATCCGTTCTGCTATTCTTTCCCTACGCAGCTGTTGCAAAGAAAATATATATTCAGGTAAGGTCTCCGCAAGCAAGATAAAGCCTATCTCAACTAAAAGCTATAGTCGAGGCTTTGATCAAACATTAGACATGAACATCATTCACTTGGAGATTGCAAAACAGACCAGACAATTACAAAGTGTATAAAACATATTACCCGCTCAGCGATGCTATGTGGATCGGTGGCCTGACCTCGCCTAGCTCTAACTCTTGGTCGAATTGTGGATTGTTGATGCGGCATTGGTGGAGCTGGCTGTGTCATTGGCTGCCCATGGTAAACCTTTAAACAAAACACAAATCAAGGACGTTATAAAAATTACGAAAAAAAAGAACACTCTTTTATGCTAAAGTTGCTTATAAAGTCAATTTCAGTGATGTGAGTTGAGAAACCTCAAAATCTTCAACTTGGGTTTCTTCATAAACAAAAGAAAAGCAGTCAAATCTCATTAATCTGAGCCAAAAACTCGCTGTAACTATCAAATTTAGACCTAATCTTTTGGCAAAATTCAACCTTTCTTAATTGGGTTTTCTCAAAAACGTAACTTTTTAAAAACCCTAAATATTTTTTTAATTGTCATCGAAAACCACAACACACAAACACACACAGAGAACAAAAAAACTGAAGATTTCAAGAGAAACTCTTACAGGTTTCATAGAGGAACATCGATTATCAATAACATCGTCTTGGAAACGTTTCCCACTAGGATGAACACCTTCAGGTTTAAGAAAGCCATGGCCTTTCCCTTGATCGAGGCTTAATCCCAACGGAAACATGTGATTATGAAACCCTACAGGCCCAGGTCCTCCAATGGCACCCATGTGATTATGATTCCCTTCATCGCCTGAACCGAGCTGAAGCATCATCGGAGGAGGACCCACGCCGCTTAATCCCCCGCCAATTCCAGAAAGACCAGAACCAGAAGAAGCAGAGAAGTTGGAAATCCCGAGGATCTGCTCGAAGAAATCGTCGGTAACAGATGGATCGGAGATGTTATCATGTGGGTTGTTGTTGTTGTTAGCCATGGAAACAAGGTTGAGGTTAAGATAAAAACGACTCAGTGGAGCTGGATGAGTTGAGAAGATAAAAGAGGATAAGCGAGTTTTAGAGAGAAGTGGGAGAACAAGTTTCCATGGGAATATTTTAAGAGGAGGGACTTGTGTTAGGTGAAGGAGAATGATGATGCTTAAGCTAATGAGGACGAAGAGACACAGACGAGAAAGGATATGACAAAAAGACTCACTTTATGCTCTCTCTCTCCTTTTTTTTAATAAAAAAAAAATTGTTTCTTTTGGAAAAAAGGACATTACTTTATCCATTATTATCGCTTTTGCCCTTATTCTTGGTTTACCTTCCAGAAACTCGAAGTGGGCTTTTTTGTTTTTGAATGGGCTTTTTGTTTTGACTTTCTTTAAATTATTCACATCAGATTACAAAACTTTTTGTTAGTAGAAAGTTGGAAACTTAAAATACAATAATTTTATTTTGGTTATAGAACTATATTTGTATAATGGTAATGGGAAACTCTCCGTGTTGTCGGGGTCGTCATCATCTCGTTAGTGGTAGAAGAAAATCATAAGAATGAAAATATATATATCACTCGCCCTTGTCGTTTTTCCAAAGTTTAGCACTCATGGAGTAAAGTTTTATGGATCCAATATAAGAATGACACGTGTAAACTATGTCAGAAGATAACATTAACCCACTTGCTTCTCCTTAATAGTGCTTAAGACTCCCATAGTTTCCATGCATACCAGTTTTATCAGTCTTGTGATCCGTTGTCCATTTTGAAACAGGAATAAACGAGCGTGACAAAAAAGTAAAAAATAAAAATAAAGAAGAAGTTAAATTTCAGTTGACCCCTCAAAAAAAAAAAAGGAAAACAAAAAAAAATAGAGAAGACACGTGGCTGTATTTCTCACCGGCAAAAGTCTCCGACAACTTCGGCGACTTAGATGGTGAAAAAAATCAACGAGCACCAAAGAAACTACATTGACGAAACAAACAAAAACAAAACATAGAAAGAAGAAAGAAGAAAAAACAAAAACAAAACCTAAAAAAGAACACAGAGGAGAAAAAAGGAAACGACGAGGAACTCAAAAAATAAAATAAATCTAAAATAAAACAAAAACAACCCTCGTTCTTCCCTTTTCTCTCTTCAACTCTTTTGTCTTTTTTCCTTTTTTCTTTTCTTTAATTTCCTTTAATTAATTACACATTGTACTAATTAATCGTAATAAATGGGTTCGAGTAAACTTAAACGAGCCATTGGAGCCGTTAAGGACCAAACCAGCGTCGGTCTAGCCAAAGTCAACGGTCGAAGCGCTTCTCTATCAGAGCTTGACGTAGCCATCGTCAAAGCGACTCGTCACGAAGAGTTCCCTGCTGAAGAGAAATACATCAGAGAGATTCTTAGCCTGACTTCTTACTCACGCAGTTACATCAACGCTTGCGTTAACACCCTCTCCAGACGCCTTAACAAAACCAAATGCTGGACCGTCGCTCTCAAAACCTTGATTTTGATCCAACGCCTCTTGGGAGAAGGAGATCAAGCCTACGAGCAAGAGATCTTCTTCGCCACCCGCCGTGGGACTAGGCTTCTCAACATGTCTGATTTTAGGGATGTTTCCAGGTCTAATTCTTGGGATTACTCTGCTTTTGTAAGGACTTACGCCTTGTACCTTGACGAGAGGCTTGATTTCAGGTAAGACTGCTCGAGATCCGGCTTTCAATTAGGGTTTCCATGTCATATATATATATATGTGTGTATCTTGAAAAATATAATTTAGATGAGGGTTTGCTTTAAACCATATTAAGATTTTTCTCGAAACTTTTCAGGATGCAAGCTAAACACGGGAAACGCGGAGTTTACTGCGTTGGAGGAGAAACCGAGGAAGATGAGCAAGATCAAGCCGCGGCTGATCTCTCCACGGCTATCGTGGTCAGGTCACAACCCATCGCCGAGATGAAAACAGAGCAGATTTTCACCAGAGTTCAACATTTGCAGCAGCTTCTTGACCGTTTCTTGGCTTGTCGTCCAACAGGTATATATATATATATATGACTTGTGTCTCACGGTTCCTTTCTCTCTGTTTTTTTTTTCTTGGGTATGAAGTCATGTGAGGAAAATTCATTTTTATAAAGGTAATGCGAGGAACAACAGAGTTGTAATTGTGGCTCTGTATCCGATAGTGAAGGAGAGTTATCAGATATATTACGATGTAACAGAGATCATGGGGATTTTGATCGATCGATTCATGGAGTTAGATATTCCTGATTCCATCAAGGTCTATGACATTTTCTGCCGGGTTTCGAAACAGTTTGAAGAGCTCGATCAGTTCTACTCATGGTGTAAGAACATGGGGATCGCACGGTCCTCTGAGTATCCAGAGGTAGAGAAGATCACACAGAAGAAGCTTGATCTCATGGATGAGTTTATAAGAGACAAATCTGCTCTAGAACAGACCAAGAATTCAAAATCTGTCAAATCTGAGGCCGATGAAGAAGATGATGATGAGAGAACACAGGAAGTGAATGAAGAGCAAGAAGATATGAATGCAATCAAGGCCTTACCCGAACCTCCATCAAAAGAAGAAGAAGAAGACGAAAAGCCTGAGGAAGAAGCAAAGGAAGAAGTGATCATAGAGAAGAAACAAGAAGAAATGGGTGATTTACTGGATCTTGGTAATGCAAACGGCGGTGAAGCAGCAGAAGCTGGAGATAGCTTGGCACTGGCTTTATTTGACGGGCCATACGCGAGCGGTTCAGGTTCAGAGTCTGGCCCAGGATGGGAAGCGTTTAAGGATGATTCCGCGGATTGGGAAACAGCTTTGGTGCAAACAGCAACAAAATTGTCCGGACAAAAGTCGGAACTCGGAGGAGGCTTTGATATGTTGTTGCTTAACGGAATGTATCAGCATGGCGCTGTAAACGCAGCCGTGAAAACATCGACGGCTTATGGAGCCAGCGGAAGCGCAAGCAGTATGGCATTTGGTTCCGCAGGAAGACCAGCAGGTTTCAGAGATACCTTACTTTCCTCTGTTTTTCTCTAGTTTCTTATAACTTTGCTCTGTTTTCGTTTGCATTCTGATGATTTGACATGAGTTTTACATCGGTTGCAGCAACTATGCTGGCACTTCCAGCACCAGCAACGGCAAACGGAAACAGCGGAAACAATAACAGTCCGGTTCCCATGGATCCATTTGCAGCGTCATTGGAGGTTGCGCCGCCACCATACGTGCAAATGAATGACATGGAGAAGAAACAGAGGATGTTGATGGAAGAACAGATGATGTGGGACCAATACTCTAGAGATGGACGACAAGGACACATGAATCTAAGGCAAAACCAAAACCAAAACCAACCTTACTCTTACACACCTCAATACTGATTGTGAGACGTAGATGGAGTGGAGCTCTTCTTTAAGTTGTGTCAGCTTTTTGTTTTGTCTACCAATCAGTTTGGTCTTATAGATCTACAAAATGGCTTGGTTCTCTTTTTTTCAAATTTATTTCTTGACCTAATGGCTTCTGTAATTGTAATCTGTGGTTTAACTTTAAAAGGAAAACTTACAATATATGTTTTGATATACAATTATATCTAAATTTCTCTAGAGCAAGCTCTAATGCTTCACACCATAGCTTTTGTTTGATTTACCTACAAAAACAGAGAAGTATTGTTAGTAAAGATTCTCAAATTTCTTGTTTCAGAAGTTATCCTGTCAGTTGGACATAAGAGGATCACAAAAAAAGAAAAGGTTTCCATTCTCACAGAATTCAAAACATGGTTGTTTCATAACAGGATCATCTTGGATCTCCGGAGGCTCCCGGCCAAACATCATCTTACAGCTAAGATCATTAAAATCTGCAAAACTCAATACAAAGTTTAATTTAGTGTTGTCGCATTTTGAAAAATATAAATGATTGCTTGTGTCTTAAGTCAAATAGTTGACTTCTTAGAAAGAATGATCATACATCATTATTCAGCTTGAAGACTAAATAGGTCTACTTGTAGTTAATGGTGTCCTTAGTGGTGAACCAATGGGACCCCTAAAGATCACATTAAGCCTCCACAAGTTGAGAAGTGCAGGCTTAATACTTTCACAATATATTATTAAGTCTGATTCAACTGTTTAATTTTATGCCCCAATCTGTGATTGCTATTACAAACCAAAGAGAAATAGATTCAGCATAGTACCCGGCTCCATGTAGATAGGCATTCCAAGTGAGTTTTTGATGAAGATTTGGGATGGAATTTTACAAATATGAGTGCACATGCCAACACAATTCGACTGCTCAAGGAACCTACAAATTACACAACAGTCAAAGACTTGATATATGAGTGACAGACCTCATCAACAAGTGAACTTATTGTTATTGGTTGCTGTAATATAATGATTGTGTTATGGAAGAATGGTCTTGATATTTGTCTGACAGTTTAATGATCAGACGGGGACCAAATAGAGAGATTACAGTTAACCTGCACTTCTCTATGAACACAACACTCTTCTCTTTTCTCCCATTAATCTCAGTCTCCATCACCTTGGCAATAAAGTTCTCGAATTAAAACTCATGAAAATTTTCTGAACTGCAACTCAAAGACAACTAGTAGCTTACCTCTGAAGGTCCAACGAGCCAAGCGAAAGATATTGTGGTGAATAGCGCAAAGAGCTCCCTCGAGAGTTTTGAAGGTGGAAAAAGCATTTTGATCTGTAAAATTTCAGCAAGATAAGTTGGTGAAGTAAGTTCATAGTTTGCTGCAACTTGATCTAATTGAACTCATTCATAAGAAAACTTTACCGAGGAGCTTATCACAGCCGGTAATGCTTTTTCCAAAGAGCTAAGGACAAGCTCATGTTGTTGCTTGGTGTCAAAGTTACTCGCAACCCTAGTTGCCGTATCTACTAACCTATCATAGTCGGTACTCTTGCTGCTACTACTACTCATCCCTAAAGAAATATTTCTCAGATTTCTTCCTCAAATATATATGTATATCGTTCTAATGAAGTAAAAAAGCAAAAAGACACGAACCTGCTGCGTCTTGGAGATTCTTTGAGAGATAATTAATTGCAACTTTCGAGAAGAAGCTGTCCTCAATAGTACTCGCATTCGATGGCTCGATCACTGTTGCTGTCTCCTTTGTAGCCTTGAGTTCGCCGGAGTAGACGGGCTTTGAACAGAGAGTTGGGGAAACGCTTGAGCGTCTGTGTAAGCCAATACAAGTGCGTGTATCGTTGAACCGAGTTTTGAAAGTGAGAATCTTGGTCTGAGGAAGTGAAAGCTTAGTGTTCATCGTTTGGTCTTACTCTTTAATTTTGTAGAAGAAGAGTTCTGGCAGAGAAACTTGTTGCAGGTTCTGTTTTATTTTTCTAAGGTCAGGAATTGACGTCTCCAAAGTATATATATGGCCTTGAATTGCTCTGTATCAATTTTTGTATTTATCTTTTATCTTTTATACAAAAATTTCTTTTTCTGTTCAAGACAGCCCTTTCTAAGAAAGAGTAAAAAGAAAAATTGTAATAAATACTCATTTTTAAATATATTTTCGAATGGTAACATTATATCTCTATTTTTTATGCTTTCTTTTGCCCTTTGTCTTTTTTCTTTTGTTTCTTTTCAATTGATGACTTACAGATCTTTTCAAAAGATTGAAATCTTGGCGAACTCAAGGCTAAAAGCCATGTTTTAAAATGGTATATTATCTTCTTTATTCCGTCCAAAGATATCATCATTTTTATCAGTTTGAATTAGTTATATAGAAATCATTATTATTTACAGTAACATAAATATCGTATTTATATAATATATATACTTGTTAATTTACTCTGATAAATTAATATGGAGAATCTACTAAAGAGATCAAGCTTTTAGATAACATATCTTTTTACTTTAAGAAACCATATCTCCTGTCTCTCTCTCTCTCTCACTTAAGAACAAAAAAAAAGAAAAAAAAAACTGACCATTGACATTGAAGCAACACATGAAGAATACAAAAAGTTACAATCTATTAAAACAATGCAAGAATTGCATCTGAGAAAATACAGATACAGATACAGACAGATGGGGCTGTAAATACTAATATGCCCAGCTTCTGCTATTTTCAATGAGTTTTCAAGAAGAAACAATTTAAAGGTAAGAAAACAAAAACAAAACGGCCGCAAAAATACCATACTGTACACAGTACACACACTCCCCTGTAAAGCTTGTAATCTTCCCATCTATTTACACAAATTCTCAAACCAAACCTCTTCTCCTTATCCTTCTCAAACTTGAAAATTTCACCAGCAAAACAGAGTTGAGAGTGGCTCGCTATGCTCTATTTCTCCTAACCTGCAAGCCGGTGATGTATAAGAGAAGCACCTGACTTTGGTCTTGCTTTCTCCTATGTGGTTTAAGTTCCCTGGCCAGCTCTTTCAGTTCTAGCCAAAGAAACCAAAAAGGGATTGACTGTTCTCTGCTTTAGTTTTTAAACCTATGAAGCCTGTTTCAATGAAGCTTGTTTCAATGAAGCCTGTTTCAATGAAGCTCTTAATGTCTCATCTGGTAATGTCCATGAAAGCAACTGTCCAGCTGAATCACCGCTTAGTAACTGCTTCAGGTCGCTTGTGAGATAGAGAGCGGTGATCGGTTGCTTATGGAATTTCAACACCTTGTGTAGAATCAACTTGTACTCTGGCACTTGATCACCCAAGTTCAGACCTCCTGTTCTGTTGCTACTACTTGTTTTGCTCTCGGCACTCACCGGATCAGTACAATGAATCATCCGCCATACTTTAACTGCTCCACTCTGATGACCAGTTACATACCAGCTTGTTTCAAGCCAGTCGGAAGATGTTGAGCCTGTTACTGATAATACTGAATCAGATGGTAACTGTGAGGTGTTAGCCACGGCAAGACAATCACCGTTGATGCTCCAAACCGCAAGGACAGTTCCAGCAGCGGTTGCAATTTCCCCAGTAAGGTCGTTTATGTAGATTGCTGAAATGGGAACTGGGAAGTCAGGAAGCTGCCTCACAAAACTCAATGAACTGAGATCCCATATGATGACTGTACAGTCATCTGACCCGCTTGCAATCATCATGTACGGTTGGCTTACACGTAGACATGTGACTTTAGCTGTGTGGGCACATAGGGCTTTCTCTAACCGTAAACGCCGTGAACCACGGGGACCATCCTTGCTTACTCTCCACACGCACACTAAACCATCCTCTGCTCCAGTGGCCACAATGCGCCCATCGTGACTTACACCAGCACACTGGATCTGGTTGCTTTCATGAAGATTTTCATGGGTTGATAACAGTTTGTCCTGATCATAGCTCATAAATCTCAAGCTCCTGTCTGGGAAGCCCCACGTTATGTATTTTGTATAGCCTCTAGGTTTCAAGAAACAGTTGGCTCCCGCAACGAGAACCTTGTCATGGAAAGTAATGATCTGGCTAATAGAAGATGAGCATTTACGTGTTTCGTGAGGAACTAGATGCATCGAGTGTTTCAGAGGGTGGAGAGGAATTTTTCTGTCTGTTCTTCTTTTAACATGAGCTTTCGGGAACAGTTGCTTTGGAGTTTGCCCAAAATGATTAATCTGCGCTAGTATGGAAGCTTTCATTGCGGGGTCGGTAACTGCATCAATATCAACATTTCCCTCGTATGTGTAATGATAGAAAACATTCACAGCTTCTTCAGCAGCCTGGAATAAATATCCAGAACATGAAAGGAAATTAAAAATAACATAACAATACTTTGATTTCTGTATTATACTTCACTAGCAGCAAAAGGAAAATATTGTGTAATGTACCTTTCCTCTCTGTTTGTACCCAAAGATGAGATCTATCCAATGATGCAAATTCTCTGAGACATAATCTGATTCCAACGCTTCTCTGTGTTTGAGGATGAACTCACGTACACTACCTCTAGCCCATGGAGGTAAAAAGACATCACCGACCTGATATTATGCAGGAAATATAATTATATAAACTAAACATGAAAGGAAAATGGTACAATCAAACACAATGGAAAGACCTTGAACTGGCACAAACCTTCTCTCCTGATTGTTTTTCACCCAAATCAAGGCTGAATCTATTTTCCAAAAACTCAGGCATGTAGAAGAATTCAGGAATTAGTTCTTTTACATCTGAAGTATTTCCCTTTCCTGCTGCACTTAGCCAAGTATCTTTAATACTATTGAAGAGTCTATCAGCATGATCAAACTGACCGCCCTGCAGCTTCTGATTCTCAGTACTGAATGGCGGGAGGCGAATAAGATAAAACAGAACAATTCCAGCACTCGAATAGTGAGAACCATAATGGAATTTTGGAACCTCTGGATCATCCCAGCTCTCATATCTGAAATTAAGCAGGAAAAAAAAGAATTCATGATAAGCAAAGATTAGATACAACTATGGTATCATGA